CTGGGATTACAGGTGTGAGCCACCGCGCCCAGCCTCTACACACTTTTAAACAACTCACTCACTATCACCAGCACAGCAAGGGGGAAATCTGCCCCCATGACCCAATCACTTCCCACCAGGCCCCTCCTTCAATATTGGGAATTACAATTTGTCGTGAGATTTGGGTGGGGACACAGAAACAAACCACATGACTGCAACACCACAGTGCTGGTAGCAGTGGGACTGCTATTCATCAAAGGCTGAAAGGGAGGGAAGAGGGAACGGCTGGAGAAATTTTAAAGAACAGAGAGCTGTGTAGACAGAGACACCTACCTGGCATTGTGTCTTTAGTTTATGGGTCCAGCTTTTCCCTGTGACCCCAAAAAGAGGGACCCAAGGAAATAAGTACTACAACTTTACTGCCCTTCTTCCTGCTGATTTGCCAGTGGTGTCCCTGTATTATCCCCATCTGGAAGCAATGACTTAGCCCCAACAGATGAGCCTCCCAGGGCACAAAGCAGGTGAACAAGAGTGAAGACTGGATCTGGAGAGGTGCACAAAAGCTATGTATACTATGAGACTCTGGATGGGGTATGAAAATTCTCCCCGATTCTGTTCTTCTACCTTATTTTGGAGCTAATAGCACTTCTCAGTATCTTCATGACTTCTTGGAATGACTTAACAGGTTCAATTTGCTGATCTGATATTATTGATTAAAGTAGCACTATAAAATTGTTCCAAAGAACCTTCTTCAGAGTAGAATGACAGAATGATGAGACCAAAAGTCGCTGAACTGGGGTGAACTAGTAATTCAGTAGTGAACAGCTGGCTGTTCTTGAACACTTACAGGATCAGTTTCTGAGCGGGCTGCAGTCTTTAAGTTGGCTCACTCCCTTCCCCACAGTCCTGAGGAAATCTTGCAAGGAAGATGACGTGGCAGGCAGCTTTTCCCTGTGACCCCAAAAAGAGGGACCCAAAAAGAGGGAACTGAGCTCCAGTACAGTCAGGGTCCCTTGTGAGTGACTTTGTCAGTGAGCCCCATTCTCTTTATCCCCAGTCCCAGAATTGGGAAGGAACATAAGTTCCAGAAAAATCAAAATGAGCTCCTTAGCTGGAAATGCTGGGGAGATGCCTGGGCAAACAGATCAAGATATCTTATAGTAGTCAGAGAAAAGGTGAATAATAATAATTATTATTATTATTATTATTATTATTATTTTGAGATGGAGTTTCACTCTGGTTTCCCAGGCTGGAGTGCAGTGGTCCAATCTCGGCTCACTGCAACTTCCATCTCCTGGGTACAAGCGATTCTCCTGTCTCAGCCTCCTGAGTAGCTAGGATTACAGGTGCCTGCCACCACGCTTGGCTAATATTTTGTATTTTAGTAGAGACGGGGTTTCACCATGTTGATCAGGATGGTCTCGATCTCTTGACCTCATGATCCACCCGCCTCGGCCTCGCAAAGTGCTGGGATTACAGGTTTGAGCCACCGCGCCCAGCAAAGGTGAATTATTTTAAGCCAAATGGCCATGTAGTTCATGTGGGCCATGGGAAAAAGAGGCAGAGCTGCAAACAGTGACAGCTCCTGCTAAGACTAACTAGGGAAAAATCTATGAAGGTTACTACTGTGAGTCACATGGCTGACTCCACAGCCTTGTGTGTGCACCTGCACAATCAGCAGGAACTTTTGGATATGGGAGATAACGTACATCGATTTATGGAGGACAAGGTGCACAACAATGCAAAATACACCAATAGAAATGTGCAATCTGTTTTGGCAGAAATCTCATCTTGCATTTTAATCTGACCCTTACATCAAAAGTACTGATTTAATCAGTGCATTAATAAGAATGCATGCTAGAAATATCTGAAATAGAATAATAAAGCATAGGATAGAATGCAAATGTGTCTATATTTGTTTTGCTCTGTATACTTCTATGTTGTTTGACTCTTTCAATAAAAATTTCATGTAGCATTCATGTAATTAAAAAGAAATGTTTCTATATCTCTACAGACAGTATGCAAAATGTACAGAATGTAGTGGTTCTTCATTCTAATTGTGCATCAGAATCACCTTGTTAAAATTTAAAAATCTAGAGGTCTGGTTATCACCTCAGTCCTAAAGAATAAGAATCTATAAAAGTAGACCTGTATGAAAGTTTTTGCTTGGTTTTGTTTGATTTGTACTGCTCCACAAGTAATTCTGACAGAGAGATTGAGGACCACCAGGGACACAGTTTCATGTTCTCATTTTGGATTTGACTGTTTGCTGTGATTTTGCATCATTATATTGCTGAGTTGGGGCCAACACATACTCAGATTCTGGTCCTACTGCTTATCTCCTGGGAAACTTCACATACACAAGTTAATGTCTTCAAACCTCAGTTGCCTCATTTCTAAAATCAAGGTAATAGCAAGACTGATCTCATCACAATATCATAAGAATCAGGTGAGATGATACACACGGAACATTTAGCACAGAATGTGGCCCCGATAAGCACTCAATACAAGTTAATATTATTTAGTCGTATAGTCATTCTAATATTTACATATTTATAACAAAATAATTACACAGATGTTCCTTAACTTAGAGTGCAGTTACAGCCCAATAAACCCATTGCAAATAAAAATCTATCTGAAGCTGAAAATGCATTTAATACCCTGATAAACCCATTTAAAAGTCAAAAAATCGTAACTTAAGGACTGTCTTCGGTTGTATGGACGTATTTCATTATAAAGATAAGCTCCACATTGCATTTTACAGATTCAGAGGTTTGGGGATTTTTCTCACATATTTTTATGTCCATTAACTGAAAAGCAATGCTTGTGATGAAGAAGTCACATTAGTGAAATGATGAAATGGTAACTATCACATATATGAGAATAAACTGCATTGTTCAACTTTATATTAGAATTCACTTTAAAGAGTGGCAGTTTCTTTGCCTCAAATCAGTGATTCAGTTCATAAGGCACCAATAAATAGAAAACCTCATATGACAAAAGTTTTCTGCTTTTATGATTATAGCATAAGTCGAAATTGTTTGATTACCTGTTTTGAGTTGCTCTTGTTTCTGAAGGATTTCAAATCCAGTATGATTGAAAAAGCTGACTAGGGAGTTAACTAGGACTACCTGACTTTAAATTCTAGCTTTGGCAAGTACACTGTGTAACATTAGGCAACTTAATTAACCTCTCTGGGCTTCAGGTTCTCATTTGTAAAATGGTGATAATAGTACCTACCTCTCACGGTGGCTGTGAGTATTAAATGCATTGTTTAGTAAAATGCTCAGACCATATCCTGGTGCATAATGCAGTGCTATGTTGAATGTTTACTATTTTTATTATTATTATTATTATTTTATTTTTTGTTTTTTGTTTTTTTGTTTTTTGTTTTTTTTGAGATGGAGTTTCACTCTTGTTACCCAGGCTGGAGTGCAATGGCGCGATCTCAGCTCACCGCAACCTCCGCCTCCTGAGTTCAGGCAATTCTCCTGCCTCAGCCTCCTGAGTAGCTGGGATTACAGGCACGCGCCACCATGCCCAGCTAATTTTTTTTTTGTATTTTTAGTAGAGACGGGGTTTCACCATGTTGACCAGGTTGGTCTCGATCTCTCGACCTTGTGATCCACCCGCCTCGGCCTCCCAAAGTGCTGGGATTACAGGCTTGAGCCACCGCGCCCGGCTACTATTTTTATTATTTATTTATTCTAATTGTAGGCATGTGCAGACTGACGAAATAAGAGTATGAGTTACAGAAAGGAATTAAAGAAGCAAGCATAATTTCATTCTCTACAAGAACTCATGGTTTACTGCTAACAAAGAAGTAGAAATGATACCCTTGAAACAAACCTGTGCATGTACCCCCTGAATAAAAATATATATATATTAAAACATATTTTAAAACTCTCTTTTTTTAAAGATGGGTTTCACCATGATGGCCAGGCTAGTCTTGAACTCCTGACCTCAGGTGATCCACCCACCTCGGCCTCCCGAAGTACTAGGATTGCAGGCATGAGCCACTGCACCCAGCCAAACTCTCATTTTTAAAAACAATATGATCAATTAAAATAAATAACTTAGCAGCAAAACATATAACAATCCAGAATTAAAATATTCAGAAATCAAGCAAGTCATCTTGTACTACCAGATTCTTTTTGAAGAATGACATTTAAGAAACAAAGAGAGTCAATTTCCCCTGCCTGTACTAAAGAAAAGTGAGTTCAAAAAATGTCCTAGTTATAATTTCCAGTTAACCCAACATTAACATTGCCCAGAATTTAGTGTGACAGCCACTTTGAAACCCTTGTAAATTCTGTCACCTTGGATGAATCAACACTGATTGGTTTATCCATGCATATAATTCAGATTGTTCTGAATAAAGCTGGTTTCCTCAAAGGACCCAAGATAACTTAATGAAATAAATGTATCACATTCAGTATATAGATGAGGCAAAGGACATTATTTATTTCAAAGGAGAAATCTTATTCTTTTGTGGTACAGTTAAAAAAAAAAAAGGCTGAATAGAAAATAAAATTGCTAATTAAGAAAAAGGAAAGGCACCCATAGTCATTCGCTCATGAGAAAGAAACCTAGCTGAGAAGACTGGTAGGCAAGAAACACAGTGGAATGCTATACAGGAAAGAGAATGTTGGAATAGAAAAGTTTTTCATGCTGTGCGCAGTGGCTCACACCTGTCATCCCAGCACTTTGGGAGGCCGAGGCTGGTGGATCACGAGCTCAGGAGTTTGAGACCAGCCTTACCAACATGGTGAAACCCTGTCCCTACTAAAAATACAAAAAAAAAAAAAATAGCCAGGTATGGTGGTGTGCACCTGCAATCCCAGCTACTCAGGAGGCTGAAGCAGGAGAATCTCTTGAATCCGGGAGGTGGAGGTTACAGTGAACCAAGATAGCACCACTACACTCCAGCCTGGGCAACAGAGTAAGACTTGATCTCAAAAAAAAAAAAAAAAAAAAAAAAGTTTTTTATTTGTTCTCCAAGATCTGCTCTTACTGAAGTAGATCAATGATTAAAGTAACCAAATTTGAACATCAGAAGACCTTCCAGTCTACTTGTTGCATGAGCTGTACAGTTTTGAGAAGCAAAACTATAAAACAATGTAAAAAGTACATTTTCCCTCATCTCTATTTGTGATTTCATCTATTTATCCTTAAAAGCCACTCCTACAAAAGCATAAACTTTATAGATATTTGCATGGTAGGCACGTTCACAGATTGCTGTTGTGTTTTTTTTTTTTTACAAGAACAATGTATGTCCATTAGTGGGTAAATAAAAAGAAACCATAGACAAGCAAAAGGCAGAAAACAGAAAAGACTCAGAATTTCACTCACAGATCGTTGTCTTCAACTTGGTGTGCCCACTTCTAAGGCCTATTCTTTTCTTAATAATTAGTTTATTTTAAAATGCAGACATAAATATGCATTTCTACGTGAATGTGATCATGTCAAACATATTTTTTCAAACATTTATTTCAAAAGAGAAACCTTATTCCTTTGTGGTAGAGTAAAAGAAAAATTGAATAGAAAATAAAATCTCTAATTTAAAAAAACGCCACCTATACCAGTTTGCTCATGTTTAAGGTGTATTTTTCCAGTTCTGTGAAGAAGGTCATTGGTAGCTTGATGGGGATAACATTGAATCTATAAATTACTTTGGGCAGTGTGGCCATTTTCACAATATTGATTCTTCCTAACCATGAGCATGGAATGTTTCTTCATCTGTTTGTGTCCTCTCTTATTTCGTTGAGCAGTGGTTTGTAGTTCTCCTTGAAGAGGTCCTTTACATCCTTTATTAGTTGTATTCCTAGGTATTCTCTTTGTAGCAATTGTGAATGGCAGTTCGTTCTTGATTTGGCTCTCTTGAAGTCTGTTATTGATGTATAGGAATGCTTGTGATTTTTGCACATTGATTTTGTATCCTGAGAGTTTGCTGAAATTGCTTATCAGTTTAAGGAGATTTGGGGCTGAGATGATAGGGTCCTCTATATATACAATCATATCATCCGCAAATAGAGACAATTTGACTTCCTCCTTTTCTAATTGAATACTCTTTATTTCTTTTTCTTGCCTGATTGCTCTGGCTAGAATTTCCAATACTATCTTAAATAGGAGTGGTGAGAGAGGACATCCCTGTCTAGTGCCAGATTTCAAAGGGAATGCTTGCAGTTTTTGCCCATTCAGTATGATATTGGCTATGGGTTTATCATAAATAGCTTTTATTATTTTGAGATATGTTCTGTCCATACCTAGTTTATTAAGAGTTTTTAGCATAAAGGGCTATTGAATTTTGTCAAAGGCCTTCTCTGCAACTATTGAGTTAATCATGTGGTTTTTGTCTTTGGTTCTGTTTATGTGGTGAATTATGTTTACAGACATGCGTATATTGAACCAGCCTTGTATCTCCGAGATGAAGCCTACTTGATTATGATGAATAAGTTTTTTGATGTGCTGTTGCAATCTGTTTGCCAGTATTTTATTGAATATTTTTGCATCTATGTTCATCAGGGATATTGGCCTGAAGTTTTCTTTTCTTGCTGAGTCTCTGCCAGGTTTTGGTATCAGGATGATGTTGGTCTCATAATATGATATGGGGAGGATTCCCTCTTTTTGGATTGTTTGGAATAGTTTTGGAAGGAGTGGTACCAGCTCCTCTTTGTATGTCTGGCAGAATTTGGCAGTGAACCTATCTGGACCTGGGCTTTTTTTGGTTAGTAGGCCATTAATTGCTACCACAACTTCAGCCCTTGTTATTGGTCTATTCAGGGTTTTGACTTCTTCCTGGTTTAGGCCTGGGCGGCTGTAAGTGTCCAGGAATTTATCCATTTTTTTCCTGGTTTACTGGTTTATGTGCATAGAGTTGTTTGTAGCAACCTCTGATGGTGGTTTGTATTTCTGTGGAATCTGTGGTGATATCCCCTTCATCATTTTTTATTGCATCTATTTGATTCTTCTCTCTTTTCTTTTTTATTGTCTAGCTAGTGGTCTGTCTATTTTGTTGATCTTTTCGAAATACCCGCTCCTGGATTTATTGATTTTTTGAAGGTTTTTTTTGTGTTTCTGTCTCCTTCAGTTCTGCTCTGATCTTAGTTATTTCTTGTCTTCTGCTAGCTTTGAGATTTTTGATCTTGCTTCTCTAACTCTTTCAATTTTGACGATAGGGTGTCGATTTTAGATCTTTCCTTGTTTCTCATGTGGACATTTATTGCTATAAATTTTCCTCTAGACACTGCTTTAAATGTGTCCCAGAGATTCTTTGTGTTGTGTCTTCGTTCTTGTTGGTTTTGAAGAACATCTTTATTTCTTCCTTCATTTCATTGTGTATCCAGTCAACATTCAAGAGCCAGTTGTTCAGTTTCCATGAAGTTGTGTGGTTCTGAGTTAGTTTCTGAATTCTGAGTTCTAAGTTGATTGCACTGTGGTCTGAGAGACTGTTTGTTATGATTTCCGTTCTTTTGCATTTGCTGAGGAGTGATTTACTTCCAATTATGTGGTCAGTTTTAGAGTGGGTGTGATGTGGTACTGAGAAGAACGTATATTCTGTGGATTTAGGGTGGAGAGTTTTGTAAATGTCTATTAGGTTGGCTTGGTCTGGGTCTGAGTTCAAGTCCTGGATATCCTTGTTAATTTTCTGTCTCATTGTTCTGTCTAATATTGAGAGTGAAGTGCTAAAGCCTGCCGCTATTATTGTGTGGAAGTCTAAGCCTCTTTGTAGGTCATTAAGAACTTGCTTTATGTATCAGGGTGCTCCTGTACTGGGCGTGTATATATTTAGGATCGTTAGCTCTTCTTGTTGCATCAATCCTTTTACCTTTATGTAATGCCCTTCTTTGTATCTTTTGATCTTTGTTGATTTAAAGTCTGTTTTATCAGAGACTAGGATTGCAACTCGTGCTTTTTTTTTTTTTCCCCCCCTCTCCATTTGCTTGGTAAATCTTCCTCCATCCCTTTATTTTGAGCCTATATGTATCCTTGCATGTGAGATGGGTTTCCTGGATACAGCAGCACACCAATGGGTTTTGACTTTTTATCCAATTCGCCAGTCTGTGTCTTTTGATTGAGGCATTTAGCCCATTTACATTTAAGTTTAATATTGTTATGTGTGAATTTGATCCTGCCATTTTGATGCTAGCTGGTTGTTTTGCCCATTAGTTGACGCAGTTTCTTCTTTGTGTCAATGTTCTTTATCATTTAGTACATTTTTGGAGTGCCTGGTACTGTTTGTTCCTTTCTATGTTTAGTGCTTCTTTCAGGAGCTCTTGTAAAGGAGGACTGGTGGTGATGAAATCTCTGAGCAATTGCTTGTTCATAAAGGATTTTATTTCTCCTTTGCTTATCAAGCTTAGTTTGGCTGGCTATGAAATTCTGGGTTGAAAGTTCTTTTTTTTAAGGATGTTGAATATTGGCCCCCACTCTCTTCTGGTTTGTAGGGTTTCTGCTGAGAGATCCGTTGTGAGTCTGATGGGTTTCCCTTTGTGGGTAACCTGACCTTTCTGTCTGGCTGCCCTTAGCATTTTTTCCTTCATTTCAACCCTGGTGAATCTGCGAATTATGTGCCTTGGGGTTGCTCTTCTTGAGGAATATCTTTGCAGTGTTCTCTGTATTTCTTGGACTTGAATGTTGGCCTACCTTGCTAGGTTGGGGAAGTTCTCCTGGATAATATCCTGAAGAGTGTTTTCCAGCTTGGATTCATTCTCTCCATCACATTCAGGTATACCTATCAAACAGATTAGGTCTTTTCACATAATCTTATATTTCTTGGAGGCTTTGTTCATTTCTTTTTACTCTTTTTTTTCTCTATTCTGGCCTTCTCATTTTATTTCATTGAGTTGATCTTCAATCTCTGATATCCTTTCTTCTGCTTGGTCATTTTGGCTATTGAAGCTTATGTATCCTTTCCGATGTTCTCGTGTTATGTTTTTCAGCTCCATCAATTCATTTATATTCCTCTCTAAGCTGTTTATTCTCATTAGCATTTCATCAAACCTTTTTTCAAGGTTCTTAGTTTCATTGCATTGGGGTTAGAACATGATATTTTAGCTCAGAGAAGTTTATTACCCACCTTCTGAAGCCTTTTCTGTCAATTCATCAGACTCACCCTCCATCCAGCCTTGTTCCCTTGCTGGTGAGGAGTTGTATTCCCTTGGAGGAAGAGAGGTGTTCTGGTTTTGGGTATTTTCATCCTTTCTGCCCTGGTTTCTTCCCATCTTTGTCGATTTATCTACCTGTGGTCTTTGTGGTTGGTAACTTTCAGATGGGGTCTCTGAGTGGACATCCTTTTTGTTGCTGATGAAGTTATTTCTTTCTATTTCTTAGTTTTCCTTCTAACAGTCAGGCCCTCCTGCTGCAGGACCACTGGAGGTCCACTCCAACCCTACTTGCCTGGGGATCACCTGCAGTGGCTGCAGGACAGTAAGCGTTGCTGCCAGTTTCTTCTGTTATCTTGTCCCAGAAGAATACCTGCCAGATGTCAGTCTGAGCTCTCCTTTATGAGGTGTCCTTAGGTATACATACAGGGGTCAAGGAGCTGATTGAGAGACAGTCTGACCCTTATAGGAGCTTAAGTGCTGAGTTGTGAGCACCATTGTTCTATTCAGAGCTGCTGGGCAGGTACATTTAAGTCTGCTGCAGTGGAACTCATAACCACCTGTTTTTCCCAAGTGCTCTGTCCTGGGAAAGTGGGGCTTTATTTATAAGTTCCTGTCATTCTGCTGCCTTTTTTCAAAGATGCCCTGCCCAGGAAGGAGGTAACCTAGTCATTGTCTGCCAGCAGAGGTGTTGCTGAGCTGCTGTGGGCTCTGCCCAGTGGCTGTGTGAATTCCCTTGCAGTTTTTTTTTTGTTTGTTTTGTTTTTTTTTTATGGGGGTATAGTAGGAACTGCCTTGGTAATGGTGGTCTGCCTCAGTAATGGCAGACTGTCCTGTCATGGTGGACTGCCTCAGTAATGATGGACTGCCTTAGTAATGGTGGACTGCCTCAGTAGTGGTGGACTGCCTCAGTAATGGCAGATGCACTTCCCCCCACAGAGCTGGACTGTCCCAGGTCCAGCTGTGCTTGCTGTGAAACTCTCAAACCAGAGCATTT